TAGAAAGATCAACCTTATAAAAGAAAACAATTCATCTCTCTTCCTGAGTATTGTCTTATGACTTTTTAGGAGAAACTCCAAAACAGGAAACATATTGAAAAGCTAAAAGAATAATTTTAAAAAGCAATTAAATATAATTATGTACAACTTGTGACAATACAAAGAGTATTATTTCTGAAAGCATTATAGAAATAGCACCTTGAATTTTACCTCAACTGTTAGGTTGTCACAAAACCAACCTAGTGACAGTGGCAGTCTGAACTAGATGCTACTTCCTCAATTTTTGGGATTAACTAACTTCCGATGAATATTAATATGGTTTACAATAAGTTCTAGGTATCCAGAGTATTTTGGATGTTATTCCTGTGACAATAGCTCTAATTCAAGGTTAGATGGGACATGAAAATAATACTGGCTTTATGTTCAGAGCTATAAACCCAAGTGTTTTTCTTACAATATCCTGGGTGATTGCAGGTGAACAATCGAACTATTTTAGTTCTACGTTAACACCATAATCTTACCACTAATGCTTTCTATAAGATCACAAACATTTAAAAATTTATAATAGACTTACTGTTCACAGGTCCTATGGAGCAGCACCGCTTAAACCAATATTCACTGATTCTTCAAAAGTTCAGGAAAGACTTTATTGTTTGCTAAATTTTGTGTTTGTTAAGATATTGAATTTTGGGGAGCCAGGGCCTATGTACTTAGTCATACTTAGTCATACTGTCAAAGTGGTTCATGACCCATGAAATGACTTAATAAAGCAGACATAAAGTATCCTGTCTAAAATTAGATAGCATAATTGTCTGTTTCAGTGTTCCCAAGCACCTGTATTTAGAGTAAGTCTATATTTATGGTAACAGAGCCTAATTACTACAAAGTGAAGTAATACAGTTGTCAGTGGTGCTATTCAAAAGGAAAACTATTTGAGAAGGCTCTTTTCTTCCTAGATTCTAGAAGATAGTGACTTTATCACTCACAATGATAAAATATTGAATTGTAGCACTATTGTGAACTTGTATAGCTCAGAATAAATACTACGGTTTTATTTAGCATTTATGTTTTTGGTAGTTGTTGGGGATCAGGATACAACACACTGAAATGGAGGCCTCTGAAGCATAAGTTTTTCTCTTACCCTCTCCTGCTCTCCTGTCAGTCCCCTTCTCACTTGAGCCTAGCCATAGGAACTCTTTTTATAACTGAATAAAGAAGCTCAGAGAGAAAGCATTTTGTCTAAAGATACTTAAATAGTAAAAGATTAAGCAGGGATTAAACTCAAGGCCTGCCATACTATGAATGCCAAAAGAAGAAAGAAGGACTTTGTCCAAAAGAAGATCTGATGAAATTACATACATATTTTTTTTTTTTTTTGAGGCAGCGTCTTGTTTAGTTGCCCAGGCTGGAATGCAATGGCATGATCTTGGCTCACTGCAACCTCCGCCTCCCGGGTTCAAGTGATTCTCCTGCCTCAGCCTCCCAAGTAGCTGGGATTACAGGTGCATGCCACCATGCCTGGCTAATTTTTATATTTTTAGGTCACTGTGCCCTGCCTGATGGAATTATACTTTCTGTCAAATTAATTCTTGGGAGTCTCTGTCTGGTTAACAAAGCCAGGGTGTATTATAACTGCTTTCATTTATGTTCAATGAAGCTGGAATAGATACGATTCTGTGAGATTTTCAATGCACACCCACCAAAATAAGGCCAGGATAAAAGCCAAAATCATTAGTTAGGAAAGACTAGATTTTGTACCCCTGAAATAGAAGGGAACCTAGGTCTGGAGCTGGTCAGGAATAGAGGTAGATGGTTCAGGAAGTAAGGCGAAAAGTGGAGAGATTCGATATTTCATGTGTTTGTTAACCCCTCCCATTTGCTAATCACCCCAACTGACCTACCCCATGTTAGCACTCACGCTTACACAAATAACTTCTATCTTCAAAAAGAGGAGAAGAAATTCATTGAGTAGACATCCAATCTTTCATTTAATAAGCAAGGTGGTCTCCAGGGAAAAGAGTATAGGTTTTATTTTCAGTAGAATTGGTTCTTTATCCATTCTTTGCTTAGCTGTATTTTGCTTTATGTCATTTTTAAAATTTTTCTGCCAAGTTTTCCTTGAGTGGCTGAAATTGACTTATGTTCTTGTCTCCTCCTATGTACAGCATCCTGTGTATGCCACCATAATAGAACCTGTTAGTACAGACACTTCAGTATATCACTGACCCACCAGCTATATTCCAGGATAAGCTACAGATTTTTTCTTTTTGTAATCAAGAGCTTTATCTTATATGACTTTGTATGTATCGAGTCAAACTTAACCATTGCTTGATGAATTATTATTGATTAAATGAGTGGGTAAATTTTTTAAAAGCTCTCTTTGCTTCTTTGAGGCTGATTTCCTTGTTTTTTTTCAAGTCATTCAATTATTTATCTGTTCATCCACTAAACAAGGTTCCCTAAAACATGTGCTCTATTGAAAATGTGGAGGTTAAAGACAAAGAAATGAATTGTGTCTGCTCTTAAGAGATTTATACTTCTGTCTTCAGGCATTTACCAGGCCTGAAGGATGTGAAACTAGATTCTGGGAAGACACCAGCAAGAAAATCAACAGAGAACTTCCCTCCTCTCTGTTGGAGGGAACTCTGGAGGCAGTTGTAAGAGAGTCATGGGGGAAGGATCTGGGTACTCCTGGTTTGCAGAGATTTGTGAATTCCCATTCATGATGATGTAGCTTCTGAATTGAGTGTTCCTGAAATGACAGTGGGCCTTTTTGGTCTCCCATAGGTTGCAGGAGGGCTTAGCAGATACATTGAGCTTCTTTTGGCCCTGATTCTAGTATTAACACCAAGCTTTGGCAGCTGAAAAAAACTAATGAACAAAGTCATTTCCTTTAGGGGCCAATCCAGGGGAGTTCTATTTTTGGCATCTGGCAAAGCTTTAATACATTCAGCGAGAGATTACTGTCCCTCCCTTCATTTTTAAGATTTTTGTCACCCAAGGTATCTCAGCAGCTGGAATTTAACCCTCAGGGAATAGTCAAAAAGAAAAAGGACAATTCACCTAATGAGGTTCCAGCACTCAAAGTGAAGAGAATCAAGAAAACACACAAAGTAAGTGGCTTCTAACAAAATGAAGCTGTTGGAAAAGTCTTCCCACACCCCTCTTCAGCAGAGTTCTTTTGTATTGTGCAAGAAACAGGTTACAGTCTATGGAAACAAGAGTTGGGGAAGCCTGAATATTTCAGCTTTCAGCAAACTGTCTGAAATTGCTGTTAGTAATTATAAGTCAATATATCAGATTAAGATAAGAGCAAAGAATAACAACTTTCTGGAATTGATCATCTAAGTACAGCTTGAGATTTCTAATCAAATCAACCAATTACCATAAATAGAGTATTAGTGAACATCCTAATTGTTTTTAGCAGATAAAGGATAATGTTATTTAAGTTTTGCAGACAGATTTTGAACTTGAATTTTAATAAAAATAGCACCCCTCTTCAGTAAACAAAATTATAAAAGTAAGGAAATTCAAGCATAACACACACACACACACACACACACACACAGATTTGCTGCACTTGCAAATATGGACCATGATTTACAAACAAACAAACAAACAAAAATAAATTGAAGAAATGGATGAATGGAACCAACGAAATAAAGATTGGGAAGAAAATAGATTTGGATAAGAGACTAAGCAGACTTTCCATGTGAATAACAAGAGAGCCAGGAAAAAAGATATTAACCGTCAAAGAAGAGAAAGTTACTAAATATAAAGAAATGTATCTGAACAGAACACTCAAGTAGTAAAATGCTTCACTAAATTCTAGGCAAAATAGATTAAAAAGGTGTTATTCTACTGTGAAGAGAAGACCACTAACTCAGAATTTGAAAAATAAGGCTTTATTACTTATAAGAACTGCTTTGCAGAAAGGCAGGAGAGTGTTTATAAGCCAGGGAGTGATAATGATCATGACCCAGTTCCTTAGCACATCAAAGTGATTAGCACATCAAAGTGATAGACTTTCTTATATTCCTGAGTATGCCCAAAACCCTCCAAGATTTGCTTTATGATCAGCATAGCAGCGAGGAGGTCTCATACACTCCAGTAATGAAAGTGATTCTTTGCAAGGATCAGAAGGGAGAGGACAGTGGACTTCGTAAGAGAGCACACTCCAAAAAACCTATTTGAAAGAAGTTCTGAAAGAAGTCAATTATGTCAACTAAGATACATGAATAAAATATAGATTATATAATTTTTTCATGGAATAAAATATTAAATAATTCACTCAGTTATAATTTTTAAGTTCATTAAAAAGCTGACGTTCTGTGAATTATGGTAGGGCTGATTTCCTTGTTGGTAACTAGACACATCTTGGCAAGATTTCAGGACTCCAGGGCTAGTATAAAAATCTTAAAAGCTTCCAGATAGAAAAAATAAATTGTGGCCGGGCGCGGTGGCTCAAGCCTGTAATCCCAGCACTTTGGGAGGCCTAGGCGGGTGGATCACGAGGTCAAGAGATCGAGACCATCCTGGTCAACATGGTGAAACCCCGTCTCTACTAAAAATAAAAAAATTAGCTGGGCACGGTGGCGCGTGCCTGTAATCCCAGCTACTCGGGAGGCTGAGGCAGGAGAATTGCCTGAACCCAGGAGGCGGAGGTCGCGGTGAGCCGAGATCGCGCCATTGCACTCCAGCCTAGGTAACAAGAGCGAAACTCCGTCTCAAAAAAAAAAAAAAAAAAAAGAAAAAGAAAAAATAAGTTGTTTGACTTTCTTAAAAATGATTTTTTACTGTGCCAGTTACCTTTTTTAAAATTTAACTTTTTACAGCATTCTATAATGAGACATTAACTTGATTTTTTTAAATAGCAAATACATGATAAATAATATATTTAAATTGAATGTGGACTAAATATGAAGGGGTGTGTGTGTGTGCGCGCATGTGCTTGTCACTGGAATGAATTCCAAATACCAAGGAAGAGTCAAAGACTAACGTTTTATTTTTATAACAATATTTAATTATTGAACATTTTATACAAAATAGACTTTGATCAGATAATATTTGAGTTTGTTGCAAATAGTAAATGTGCAAAAGGAATTAATAATATTCAAGCAAATACATTACTAACTAGACCATTTTTTAAATAAAAAGCACCACCTAAAATGATCATATTGCTACTTTACACACATGCATTTCTATAATTTGTTTTTTACATAGATTTCTTACATCTATTCTTGTTTCGTGGGTTTCGGTTCCATAATTTTGAGGATTGAAGACATAGTGTCTACATTAAGAAACTGACATATTTACTCTGTATTTACTCACTGCCAAAAGCATTCTGGGAATCCTGGAGAGCTTCTATTTGATTATCTGTTTTATGAGTCACATTCCCTCAATTAATCATTGAATAGCAAGAGACAGCATTAGACATAAGGACATTTTTACACTGGCAATTTGGGACTTAGGATCTTTTCACTCTGGTCCATGTTCTCTTTGGTTACTGCCTTTTTGTTTATTTGAACTTGATTCTAGATAACGGGAAAGAAAGCAGGAATGGTGTTTAGACTTCAGGTTCCAGCTGGCTGTGGTCACCATGTCCATGGAAGTGATTGTCATGTTCTCTCAACCTAGGGACCTAAAGAAAACAAGTTTGGGGGCACATTAATCATCTTTTAATGTAAATTTTAAAAATAAGACTTTTCTTAGAAAGGGCTTAGTACTCTCAAAAAATTGATCCTGATCTGACTCATTTAATAAATATTGAGTATCCACTTTGTGTCAGCTTCTTTTCTGGGCATTGAGGATAGAGTAATGAATAAAACAGTTATTTCACTGGGCTTGTTATAAATTAGTATTGAAACAAAAATATTTTTGTTAATTATTATTCAAGCTTGAAAACAACTGGGAATAAAAATTGAGTTGAAGAAAAATAAAAGAATAAAATATTTATCTCAATCACCCTGACTACATTCCCGCTTTTCCTAACTCATTCTCTCTGAAATTTTGCTGAAAACACCCAAACATCTATCCCTCTCAAGTTTCGCAGGAAATTATTTGGGAAAAAGTATTAATAGAGCAAAGAGAAACTGCAGGATAGAAAGAGGCTGATGTTTTGTTATTCATAGGTCCTCTTGATGTGTACTCACTCGAATTCTTTAATCTTATGTATTTCACTTGCTTTTGACCACTTTTACCTATGGCATATTTTTAAATTAAGTTTAATTTCTTTTGTTTTATTATTATTTTTAACCACCAAATAAACCTGTGGACTATATATGGTATAAAATCTTACAGTTTCCCAGAAGTCATATTATTTTTATGAATAGCTTTTTTATGGCTTTCAGAGGAGTCAAACAACATCTGCTAACTAAATTCTGTCTTGTCTTTTTTTTTTGAGACGGAGTTTCGCTCTTGTTACCCAGGCTGGAGTGCAATGGCGCGATCTCAGCTCACCGCAACCTCCGCCTCCTGGGTTCAGGCAATTCTCCTGCCTCAGCCTCCTGAGTAGCTGGGATTACAGGCACGTGCCACCATGCCCAGCTAATCTTTATTTTTAGTAGAGACGGGGTTTAACCATGTTGACCAGGATGGTCTCGATCTCCTGACCTCGTGATCCACCCGCCTCGGCCTCCCAAAGTGCTGGGATTACAGGCTTGAGCCACCGCGCCCGGCCTGTCTTGTCTTTATCTAACTTCTGCTTTAGAAAATACTGTAACTTCTGATTTTATCTAGCAGGGTACATCATCTCAATTTCTCGCTATAAATAGGTAGTTCATCCAGTTTCTTTTCATTTATTTACTTTTCTTTTACACTTGACATCTTATTGAAGAAAAAATTTTTAAATTTATTATTTTTGTAGAGAGTTTCCCAGTCTGGTCCCAAACTCCTGGCATTAAATAATCCTCCACCCTCAGCTGTCCAAAGTGCTGGGATTACCTGTATAAGCTACCATGCCTAGCTAATTCGATTTCATCACACATATGCCACAGAGATATTATAGGCTTGAAGTGAGTAAAGCTTCGAGTAATGTAGTCATCATTCACATTCTTGTTTAGAATACTCTACAGTACCTCCCAATAAACAGAATCATCATAGCAGTTCTGGTCAGATGGTTGTCCCAAGAAAGGCAACTTTAGGATTAAACCTGTGATGGTAGAGGGAAAATGAGTCACGTCACGAAGCTGAAGAGGAAAATCCACTTGCATAGTGTTAATAGTCTATTATAAAGTCATCCCCTTTAGCTGACATAATTACTGCCAGAAGTTTAGAACATTTTTGTATTTAGCAATTGACTTGCTTGTTATCTATTGTAAATAATCTGAGAGCATAATATACAGGGAAGTGTTCACTTTTTATGCTGACCTGTAATTAGACCTCCAACAACTGCTGTTCCGATAGAAGAACCCAGTGCAGCCGCCTGCATGACCATAGTAGACCTAAGGAAGCAAACAAAAGATTCAGTGTTTTTCTTGGACCTCAGCCAAAAAAAATCTCACCCACTGAGGCTGTGAATGACTGCCATCTTCAGGCTAGAGTGTAACATTACACACTAACAAATTAAGCATTTGTTAATAATTTTTCTTTCATATTCTTGTTTTCTTTGAAACTCTTGAGCAGTGTTAGAAAATTCTGAGATACACCTAAAAAAGCGGATCATCTTTTAATGTAAATTTTAAAAGTAGGACTCTCCTTAGAAAGAATTTAGTACTCTCAAAAAATTGATCCTGATCTGACTCATTTAATAAGTATTGAGTACCCATTTTGTGTCAGTTTCTTTTCTAAGCACTGAGGATAGACTAATGAATGAAACAACATGAGCTAACTATCTCTTCTCATCTCACTATAATTTAGTAGTTGTGATGAAATTAGAAAAATCTAATTTTTTCTGTGGCTCAAACCTGTAATCCCAGCACTTTGGGAGGCTGAGGCTGGTGGATCACCTGAGGTCAGGAGATTGAGACCATCCTGGCTAACACGGTGAAACCCCGTCTCTACTAAAAATACAAAAAATTAGCCGGTCGTGGTGGCACGTGCCTGTAGTTCCAGCTACTCCCAGCTACTCAGGAGGCTGAGGCAGGAGAATCCCTTGAGCCTGGGAGGCAGAGTTTGCAGTGATCCGAGATGGCACCATTTCACTTCAGCCTGGGCAACAAGAGTGAAACTCTGTCTCAAAAAAAAAAAAGGAAAATGAGAGTTTTATTGGCCCTCCAGTTTCATCATCCAAGGGAGAAGATGCACTAAACTCAGATTTCTTTTTTTTTCCTCCTTATTTGAAGGGTTTAAATTTTCTAATATATATAAAAAGTTGCACAAGTAACATTATGAAAACATTAGAAACTGCAAATAACAAAACGCAGCAGAAAAGTTTAATATCCCTCAGACTGTATCAGAATAAAAATGTAAAATAAAAACATGTATTTTTATAAAAATGCAATCATGCTACATTACTTATTTTCCTATTAAATATGTTTTAGGGGTCCATTTTTGTGAGTCAGTCTAGATCTGGACCACAGTTTGAATTGCTACAGGGTGTTACACTGTGCAAAGTACTGGTTGCTTCCAGTACTGGTTGCTTCCAGTGTTTCACATTTTTGAAAATGCTGTGAGAACATCTCCTCTGAACATGCTTATAAATTTGTCTGATTATTTTCCTAATATAAAACCTATCAAGAAATGAGAATATTAGTAAAAGTCTACATATACTTTTTTTTTTTTTAGATGGAGATAAGATTTTTCACCTAGGCTGGAGTGAAGTGGCCTGATCTCAGCTCACAGCAACCTCCACCCCCCAGGTTCAAGTGGTTCTTCTGCCTCAGCCTCCCAAGTAGCTGGGGTTACAGGCACCTACCACCATGCCATGCTAATTTTTGTATTTTTAGTAGAGACGAGGTTTAACCATTTTGTCCAGGCTGGTCTCGAACTCTTGACCGCAGGTGAATCACCTGCCTCAGCCTCCCTAAGTGGTAAGATTACAGGCTTGAGCCACTGTACCCGGCCTATATAGTTCTTAGGAACTTTTCCAGATAGGAAATTGCACGATTTATATTCCAAGATTTTACTTTAGCCACTATTCAGTATTATTATTACTCATTCATACTTCATCAGTTTGATAAGTGAAAGACTGGTAGCTTGTTTTAATTTGCATTTCTTTGATTATGAGTGAGGTTGAGTATTTTATATATACTTATTTATTTGATTTTCTTATTTTGTAAATTTCCTGTTAGTTTTACAGGAATTTGCCAAGATCTTTTTAAGGTCTTAAAAGATACTTTTGATAGCAAGTGTTCTGTGATCAAATAAACTTGGAAAACACTGGCTTATACAAAATTAACAGTATTACTAGAGTTATGCTGCCATAATTTGCAAAATGTCCCTTAAGAATATTAACTTTCCCTTGTTCTATGCTTACCAAAAACCTGATTTGCATTTTAATATTCTGAATAGACACATGTAAGTAGTCTTGGCTCTCAGGTGGTATTTTATTTGGTGTGAAATATGTAAATTTTACCCGTGAACAGACCCTCAAGGCTTGCCCTCCTTCCCCTCCTCTGATATTTCTCTACCTACTTTCCCCACCAACGAATAAATTGAGATGTTCTAAACCAGCATTTCCAAGGAGTAGACCTTCAGTCATGAGACTCACCCCAGGTCTGAGCACCCAGCAAGGCCTGCTCTTTGAGAGTCAGATAGACTTGTTTATTGCATCTGTGAAACTGGTCTATGCGTGATGCTTAAGAATTCCTAATCATAGGCACCTCAGTGTGTTTGCACAGTGTCTGCACACTCCAACACTGAGGAGTTGAGTTCATTCACACATGCTTTTATCATGCTTGATTTGCATTAAAATATGTTAGTGTTTGGTCTCTACATTCTTGGGTCTGGAGAGAACTGAAAACCACGTGCATATTCTGGTGTTTTCCTCTAAATTTTCAAAAAGGGTTAAAAAAAACCACATATGGAAGAAATGTGTCAACTGGACACATGAAGAAGGAAGTTTCTATTTAGTAGGAAATGATTAAATGAGTTTTTCAAGTATTTTTTATTGATCTCAACAGGGTTAAATTTTAATCTGCTAAAATTGAAGAGAGGTTTTTCTTTTCAGATTATGCATCTCCAGTTAGTAGTCATTCAGACATTTCTAGACACACATTTCTCTTTTCTTCATGCTCTCAATTGGATTTAAAAGTTGAGCATTCTACTATGCAGCCATAAGAAACGATGAGTTCATGTCCTTTGCAGGGACATGGATGAAGCTGGAAACCATCATTCTTAGCAAACTAATGCAGGAAAAAAAAACCAAACACCACATGTTCTCATTCATCAGTGGGAGTTGAACAATGAGAACACATGGACACAGGGAGGGGAACATCACACATCCAGGCCTATTCGACGGTGGGGTGCAAGGGGAGGGAGAGCATTAGGACAAATACCTAAGGCATGCAGGGCTTAAAACCTAGATGATGGGTTGTTGGGTCCAGCAAACCACCATGGCACATGTATAACTATATAACTAACCTGCACTTTCTGCACATGTATCCCAGAACTTAAAGTATAATAAATTTTAAAAAAATTGAGCATTCTAATTTACCTTTATTTACCCTGAGTGATCTGGACTCTGTGATCTTCCTAGCTGTTTCACCTGGATGACATTCATACCAAATCATTCCAATCTTGTGACATCCCTTTTATTCTCCTGGGTTTTCTTGATACTTGTTTTTCCTCTGCTTATTTAAGTAAACATTTATACTCTACTCAGGGAAAAACCTAGGTTTGATAGAGCTAGAAGGGATTTTGGAGAACAAATACTCCATCTTCTCATTTTATAGAGGAGAAGACTGGAAACCAGAAAGGCTGAGCAACTCCTCAGATGTCAGGTGACTAGTGAGTAGCAGAGTTGGGACTATATGCCAGTGTTTTTGATTCTGCAGAACCAGTGGCTTTTCATATTATTCCAACTCATTCTTCTTGGTGTGGATTGGATGGAAATGACTGTTCAGCTCATCATATGTGCCTCCGCCTTCATTTTGGAGGGATCAAGAAAATGACTAAGCCTACTATAATCTGACTATGATTATCAAACTTCCTTATCTGCTAGGAGACAGCTGTTTCTGGTACAGACATTTAAAATAACATAATTTGAAGGGGAGGAAGACAGCAAATCACACTGCCACGTGTGTACCTTTGCAACTATCTTGCATGTTCTGCACATGTACCCCAAAACCTAAAATGCAATAAAAAAATAAAATAACATAATTTTTTAAACTAACAATTTCAGTTAAGGTGCATCTTTCAATATAACTTTATTCTAATTATGTTCTCTCAGTTGTGTCTCTTTGGCTCCAGTAAAGATAATATAAACCGTGACCAGAACTGCTAAAAAGAAAGCTCTGCTACCCCTAAATTTCTCAGACTGACAGAAAGCATCATGGGACCACAAGGGCTGAAAAACCCATTTTTTTACTCACGTGTTGGATGCACCCATTGCTACCGCCACAATGCCTGCAAGGCCTCCCGTTACTCCAGGTAAGCCGTGGAGGTTATGGACCCCACATGTATCATGAATCCTCAGTTTAGTAGTAAAAAGTGGCTGAAATTGTAAAAGGAATAAAGTTTATTATTTCGTTAAACATATAGAACTCTAGAACTGAAACAGAGCTATAGCTGAGCTCTATCCTTCCATGCAGAATTATTTTATAAATAAATTTTGTTATGTATATTTGAGGTATACAACATGATGTTATGAGATACATATAGAAAGTAAAAAGGTCACTACAGTGAAGAATATTAACATCTCCATGATCTTACATAGTTACCTTTTTTTTTTGTTTTCGTGATAAGAGCAGCTAAAAATCTACTCATTTAGCATAAATCCCATATACAGGACAATTTTACTGCCTGTAGTCTTCACTCTGTACATCAGAGCTCTAGACGTGTTCATCCTGCATTTCTGCTACTTTGCATTCTCTGACCTACATCTCCTCATTTCCTTCTCCATCCAGAAAAAATAGTGTGTGTAGCTCAGTTCTCCATCCATATCTGAGGTCCATTTAAGTTAAAGGATTTGAAAATATATTTGTGACAAAACTGTCCATTTCAGTCTTCAGTGGATTGGTTTGAAGAGAATCATTTCACGACTTACTCCTTCTCACCTACTGATGATATTCTAAATCTCTCTCTCTCTCTCTTCTTTTCTTTTGAGATGGAGTCTCATTCTGTCACCCAGTCTGGAGTGCAATGGCACCATCTTGGCTCACTGCGACCTCCGCATCCTAGGTTCAAGCGATTCTACTGCCTCAGCCTCCTGAGTAGCTGGGATTACAAGAGCTGTCACCATGCCAGGCTAATTTTTGTACTTTTTTTTTTTTTAGTAGAGCCGGGGGTTTCACCATGTTGACTAGACTGGTCTCAAACTCCTGACCTCAGGCAATTCACCCACCTCAGCCTCCCAAGGTGCTGGGATTACAGGTATAAGCTACCATGTCTGACCAGCATCCTAAATCTCTTAAAAGAGCAGAGTTCTTCATTACATAAGACAAATAATAACAACTACTTCAGTGGAACAGCCCAAAAGAAATGTAATGCCAAGCACTTAACATTTAATTCAAACTAAATTATAAATAATTGTTGTCAGATTCCTGTTACACAGAAGTCAGGGCAGAGTAGAAACACTGGACAGCTGAAATGGGAGTGGTATTTCCAAAAGGAAGGCAAGTGGCCTCCAAATAAAAATATTCATAAAGTAAAACTTTATAGCTTTTTTTCTGCTGGAGGGACATGAGAGAAGAATGGTGCAGATTCAGAGTTTGACTCAGAACATTTGCTGTACTTACAGATAGGAACTTGTATCCGAAGACAGAGACTATTCCTGCAATGCTCCCAATGATCATAGAACCAAATGGGTGAATTGTCATATCTGCACAAGTGCCCACAGCAACTCCTCCAGCAAGAGTGGCATTCTGAATGTGAACCTGTGTGAGGGGCAGAAACATAAATGAGGTGAGCTGTATGATGCAGAATTCAAAAGGATCAGGGGATTCTAGAGTTCAACAGATCCACATTACATTCTTCAGTTGAAAGGGTTACTGATTCTTCTTTAAAATTGAAATTGTAGAAGGCCTTTCTTTTTTATTTTATATATTTTTTATTATTATACTTTAAGTTCTGAGATACATGTGCAGAATGTGCAGGTTTGCTACATAGGTATACACATGCCATGGTGGTTTCCTGCACCCATCAACCCGTCTTTTACATTAGGTATTTCTCCTAAAGCTATCTCTCCTCTAGCCCCTCATCCCCCGACAGGCTCCAGTGTGTGATATTCCCCTCCATATGTCCACGTGTTCTCATCGTTCAACTCCCACTTATGAGTGAGAACATGCAGTGTTTTGTTTTCTATTCTTGTGTTGGTTTGCTGAGAATGATGATTTCTTTTTTTTTAAAATTTTTTATTGCATTTTAGGTTTTGGGGTACATGAGCAGAACATGCAAGACAGTTGCGTAGGTACACACATGGCAGCGTGTTTTGCTTCCTTTCTCCCCTTCACCCACATTTGGCATTTCTCCCCAGGCTATCCCTCCCCACCTCCCCCTCCCGAGAATGATGATTTCTAGCTTCATCCATGTCCCTGCAAAGGACATGAACTCACCTTTTTCATGGCTGCATACATTTCCATGGTGAATATGTGCCACATTTTCTTTCTCTAGTCTATCACTGATGGGATTTTGGGTTGGTTCCAAATCTTTGCTATTGTGAATAGTGCTGCAATAAACATACATGTGCATGTGTCTTTATAGTAGAATGATTTGTAATCCTTTGGGCATATACCCTGTAATGGGATTGCTGGGTCAAATGGTATTCTGGTTCTAGATCCTTGAGGAATCACCACACTGTCTCCCACAATGATTGAACTAATTTACACTTCCACCAACAGTGTTACAGAGTTCCTATTACTCCACATCCTCTCCAGCATCTGTTGTTTCCTGACTTTTTCATGATCACCATTCTAACCATTCTAACTGGCATGAGATGGTATCTCATAGTGCATTTCTCTAATGACCAGTGATGATGAGCTTTTTTTCATATGTAGGTTGGCTGCAGAAATGTATTCTTTTGAGAAGTGTCTGTTCATATCATTGGCCCACTTTTTGATGCCTTTTTTTTTTCTTGTAAATTTATTTCAGTTCTTTCTGGATTCTGGATATTAGCCCTTTGTCAGATGGATAGATTTCAAGAATTTTCTCCCATTTTGTAGGTTGCCTGTTCACTCTGATGATAGTTTCTTTTGCTGTTCAGAAGCTTTTTAGTTTAATTAGTTCATTTGACATTTGTTATTTAGGTCATTTGTCAATTTTGGCATTTGTTGCCATTGCTTTTGGTGTTTTAGTCATGAAGTCTTTGCCCATGCCTATGTCCTGAATGGTATTGCCTAGGTTTTCTTCTAGGATTTTTATGGTTTTAGGTCTTACATTAAAGTCTTTAATTCATCTTGAGTTAATTTTTGTATAAGGTGTAAGGAAGGAGTCCAGTTTCAGTTTTCTGCATGTGTCTAGCCAGTTTTCCCAACACTATTTATTAAACAGGGAATCCTTTTTCCATTGCCTGTTTTTGTCAGGTTTGTCAAAGATTGGATGGTTGTAGATGTGTGGTGTTATTTCTGAGGCCTCAGTTCTGTTCCATTGGTCTAAGAGCTTTCTTTCAAGAAGTTGACATTTGGTATCTTTCTTGCCAGTCTCTTGGTAGTGAATGAGTAATCAGATTAATGAGGCCAGTGGTGGAAGGCATTTGAGAAAATCAAAATATGTTGTAGTGGGAAGGTAGGACTGTTTAGAGCAAATAATCTAGCAATGTTTTTGTCTATTCGTGCAGTTTTTGGAACACATTTGTGGTTATCATGAACCAAAAGATGCCTATGGCCACTGTGTGTTTTGTAGCATCTATGATATTCCAATGTCCAAAGAGGAAATGTAGACATTGAAATGTACACATTACAGATGAAAGACAACAGTTTCTGCAGATGTCACTGGATTGAGGACATTTGAGGATGGAGGAAAGAGGAATTTATTTATTTTTGAGACAGAATCTTGCTCTGTCTCCCCAGATGGAGTACAGTGGCGTGATCTTGGCTCACTGCACCCACCACCTCCAAGGTTGGAGGATTCTCCTGCCTCAGTCTCCCAGTAGCTGGGATTATTGGTGCACGCCACCATGTCCAGCTAATTTTTGTATTTTTAGTAGAGATGGAGTTTCACCATGTTGGCCTGGCTGGTCTTGAATTCCTGACCTCAGGTGATCCACCCCCCTCAGCCTCCTAAAGGTCTGGGATTACAGGTGTGAGCCACCACACTCAGTCAGGAATCAATTTTTATTTACCAGAATTTTTCAGAAAAATTACAGTCTGGCTGTTCTGTCTGAGAAGCAGAGGTCATCTGTACTTTTAAAAGAGAAACACTGAACTGTACATTTTTTTCATTGTTTTTAGTGACCGCTCATGAGAAAATTTTTGGAGAATTAAGATACACATCCTCAGTTATGCTTAAAAATTAATTACAATAACATCTTCCTCCCCACCCCACTCACTCCCTGATCTGGGGGTTACTCCTTTACTGATGTTTCTCCAGCTTATAGGCAAGAAACTCCAGAGACCAATTTGGGGGAATTAAAAAAATATTGTATTTTGAACTAATTGCAGACACATATAAGTTGTAAAAATCCTATAGAATGTTTCCATATATCCCTCGTCCAGTTTCTCAAATAAGATGTTAATCTTACATAACCATGGAAAGGAAAATAGCATTGATCAAATACCTTATGTGAATTTCACCACTATTCCCACTGATTATTTTCCCCAATATCCTACTGAAGATCCCACATTGCACTTAGTTGTTATTTCTTTGACAGGAATGTTTGCAGTTGGGAAAATAGAATCAGTGTGCACCATCCCACTTTCTGCTGTTTGATAAGTCTTGTTTCTAAGGAAGCTTTTCTCAGAACTTGGGAGCAGTTAGAGCAGTTAACTCTATTATTAAAGAAATATACCTCAAATCTTTGATTTATACAAGACTATATTCATTTTATACTAGACTGCAAATTCCTTGAGAACACTTTTTTAATTCCCAGGGTACAATTTTTTTTTTTTGAGACAGAGTTTCACTCTTGTTGCCCAGGCTTGGGTACAATGGTGCGATCTTGGCTCACTGCAACCTCTGCCTCCAAGGTTCAAGAGATTATCCTGCCTCAGCTTCCTGAGTAGCTGGGATTACAGGTGCCTGCCACCATGCCTGGCTAATTTTTTTTTTTGTAGTTTTATTAGAGATGGGCTTTCACCATGTTGGCCAGGATGGTCTCAAACTCCTGAGCTCAGGTAATCTGCCCGCCTAGACGTCCCTAAGTGCTGGGATTACAGGCATGAGCCACCACTCCCAACCCAGGGTATAGATTTGATTAATAAATGAATGAATGTTGCTATTTTTAAAACATTCTTCAAGATCTGAAGTTTTGTGATTTGTCTTGGGAGCTCAGCAGTGATGCAGAAATTACCTCCTACTTATCTGAGTAACTGTCAGTGGTGTGAAGGGAAATTTCCATAAGGGCTAAGACAGCACTTACCATGTCAAGCTTGCCTCGGGGCTCCACTAGACTGGAGAAGGCATAGGCTGTGAGGACACAGGCAGCAAGAGAGAAGTATGTGTTTACAATGGCCCTGTACTGTTTGTCTCCAGGTTCAGCAATGGCTGAGTTAAAGCTGGGCCAAAACATCCATAGAAAGAGAGTCCCTGTAGTGAACCAAAAGAGGGGATGTTAGTTCTGAATATGGAAGACAGTCCGGATGATGCAGTCTGCTTTGGGCACCGACAATGTCTCTGTTTAGGCTTGATTATGGACAGGTAAGAGAAAAGAGGAGAATTGAGCCAGCATACAGTAGTATGCAAAAGATGCTCCTTTTTTCAAGATTTAATTTAATCATTATTATTATTATTATTTAGAGATGGAGTCCCACTATGTTGTCCAGGCTGGGCTCGAACTCCTCAGCCTCCTGAGTAGCTGGGACTATAGTCATTCGCTATCATGCCTGGCTTGGATGTTCTTTTTGAGCATCTTCTCACACCTGTCTTGAAGTTAACCTTCCCTGGTCCCTTTTCAAATAGTTAAGGTTCAAGCAAGTTTATCCACACTCACCAATCATTGCAAACAAGTCTGAGTGGTACACAGACTCTTCATTTTCATGTCCCCTTCTCAGTCCAGGTCGATACAAGATGCCTGCTACAGCCAAGCCGAAGTAGGCCCCAAAGGCATGGATGGTCATTGATGCTCCAATATCAGAGGCCTGAAGGGACAAAATAACATTCATATAAATAGAGGTGAACCTGAGACTCATTATGGGAGGAAAGTTAATGAAAGAATTGCATTGTTGGTTAAACAATTTAAAAAAAGGGAGAAACAAAAAGATGGTGTCCGTGAAAGTGGGGTAAAACAGGGTGGTAAAATAGAGATAGCACAGACTTTGGAGCCACGCAGAATTGACTTTCAATCCTAGGTCAGTTACTTCCTTGAGATGTAACTTTCAAGAAATTATTAAGCTTCTCTGATCTAAATGGGGATCTAAATCTAAAATGGGAAAATATTACCCACTCAACAGGGTTTGTAATGGGACTTAGATGAGACCATATTTCCAAAATGCTAGTTCCCTGGTGGGCACATAAGCTTTGCAGGGTTACTTCTCTAGGTGAAGGAGATTCTCAGTGAAATACATATTGCACAGCCTGGCATGGTGGTGCACTCCTGGTAGTCCCAGCTACTGGGAAAGCTGAGGCAGGAGAAAGGCTTGAGCCCAGGAATTTGAGGTTACAGTGAGCTATGATTGTTACATTGCACTCCAGCATAGGTAACAAAGCAAGAACTAATCTCAAAAAAAAAAAAAAAGATACTGCTTGTGATATGAAACGAAGATGATATGTTTACTTGAAATTGCAGTCGAATCTCAATTGTAACTCAAGACTTGAAACTTCAGAAAACCAGAGTTTTTACCCATATATATATATGTGTTTTTTTTTTTTCTATGATGAACTGAAAAGCAGCTGAGGTCCCAGATTCATCTGAAGAAGGTATACTTTAGATTGCTCTTTAGGATATGATGTGGATTTGACCCAGTTTTCTACATTTCCTGCCTCTAGAGCGAATGTTCACAGGGTCCAATTCTAGACATTTATCTGTACTTATAGACAGGAAGATTACACACTCATCTATTTATAAAACATTTTCAAATTTAAGTAAAAAGGGTCTCCTAGTTTTGTTCCTTTGTTTACTAGACATAGAGGGACCCAGTCCCCTTGAAGACCCACACTTGGTTGGAATGAATCAAATATCTTTCAAGCGTATATGATCTATCTAGCAATCTGTAGCTGTCCAGCAACACTTAGTCCCCTCACAACTTGGAAACCTTGCTTTGCTTCACCAGGTGGTTTCAGGAGGATGGGAGGTGGCAATTAATCATGCTTGGACTTTACAAATACCATGTGAGTCTGTGCCTACTTACATATTTGTAGGCAAAATGACCTTCCCTGTTTTTTCCCTTTGGAACCATCAGATAAGTCTTCACCTAGCTAGCACACAGAGTTTACAGAGTCTTTATTAAGACTTCCCTTGTTGGCTTCATCTTGTATTGGTCAAGTCCTTTCACATTATTCTAAAAGTTTTATTTTAGCTCCTCATTACCAGTTCAAGACTGTGCTTGGCTTAAAGAAGATTTCTCCCCATTAGTTGCTCGAGAACGTCTAGGTATCTTGTAGGCCCAGTGTAACTGTCACCTCAAAGAACCCCTCCTTGATTCTACAATCTAATCTTCCAGTTACACTTTCTCATAGCCCCACCCTACATATTTTTCATAGCATGTACCGCAGTTTATAAGAACATTGTGTGTCTGTGTCTTTGGGTAGGTGGATGAATGTGTAAGTATTTGTTTGGTTGGTTTCTGTCTGTCCCACTAGATTGTAAGCTCTGTAAAAACAGGAACCTTCATATTTTGTCATTGAGTCCCAAGCACATAGAAAGTTGTCAAAAATATTTGCTGTTGAATTAATGTTAATAGAAATATAAACAAAATAACAAAGTACTAGAGAGTGCCCCAAAATGTTTTTTAGTTATTATTCATAGGAAGAATCAATGAAATATATGTGGAGAAAAAAGTATGACGGAGGCTCTAACAAAAACCTGTACAAAGCTTTATATAGGGCTATTCACCTAGTAGTCAAAATAGTAAAAGGAATTGATCATTGATTGGCAAAAGAAGACTTGAGGCATTAGAAATATCTGGAGGTGAATTCAGACTCTGGAAAGGCATTCAGCATCTGTGATAATCAGTTTTTACAGTGTATATATGATAATAAAAATAATACCTACCATACAGTGTTGTAAAGATGAGATAAGATAATGTTTACAAAACTCCCGGTGTACAATAGGCACTCAGTAAATGATGGCTATTATTACTATTTGCTAGGGCATCCCTCTTACCAAGATTTGCTCCCACATACTGTGGACACCCATTGTTTTTTTGTAACCGGAACTGCTGCCCAAAGCTAGGTAAGTATAAATTTTCTAACTCTTACCTTAAATATTTCACCAACCAGATATTCATTGCCAGCAAAGAAAGCAATTTCTATAATTGTCATGATCAGCATTTGGATGGGACTTGTTTTTCCCAGGACAGCTCCAAAAGATATCAGAACTGTGGCTGTACTAAAGTCTGCATTTATCATGCTGAGGGGAAAAAGAATAGATTGAAGAGTAATGCACACTCAACCGAAAACTGACCAAAGCGCAATCCCATCTCCCATCAGGCCCATCCAGTGCTTCTCCCAGGCCTACTCATCACTGCCCACTTCCTTCATCTTCCTCTTTTCCTTTGACCAGACACTCTTTAGTTGCTCTAATGTATATATTTTAACTTACCTTTTATCTCCTTTAGGGCTTTAATTTATATTTGTTGATCTAATAAATGAATTATTTCCTAGAGTGTGTGTTTACTATTGCACAACAAGAATATATGTTTATATTTTAAAAACAATATGAAAAATAACTAATGGGGAATTTTTGCTCCCTGTAGCTGAGGTGGAAGGAATAATACTTTTATGAAAGATGGTTTCTCATATCCTTAAAGTCAAACCAGAGAGGTTACAGACGTGAATGTATTATCCAGCTCAGTAGAGCAAAGCATTGCTTCAGATTTTTGAATTTCAACAATTTTTTGTTGCGTAAGGGAGACAGTTTGCCAGCAAGTACAGTAAATGACAGTGGACTAACAGAGAAATGATTGATCTGGAAAATAAAGAATTGCCTTAGTCTATTTGGACTGCTATAACAAAATACCATAAACTGGGTTATTTATAAATAACAGAAATTTATTTCTTACAGTTCTAGAGGCTGGGAAGCCCAAGATCAGATGCTGACAGACTTGGTGTCTGAGGAAGGCTCTTTTTCTGGTTAGTAGATAGTGCCTTCTAGCTGTGTCCTCACATAGTGGAAGGGGTGAGAGTCTCCTGTGGACCTCTTTCACAAGGACACTGATCCCATTCACAAGCACTCTACCTTCATGACCTGGTCACCTCCTGAAGCTCCCACCTCTTAATATCATCACGTTGGAGGTTATGATTGTAATACATGAGTCCTGGAGGACACAAACATTCAGACCATAGTAAGGATGCTCACTTTTTGATTCCAATGTTAATTTTCTGTCCATGGCTGTGCAGAATCCCCTGTGCAATAGTGCCCCATTGGAGGCCCAAAGCAGCAATGAGTAGGTTGATACCCACACTGCTGAAGCCATATTTCTTCAGGAAGGTCATGAGGAAGCCAAACCCAACAAATATCATAACATGTACATCTTGGAACACTGGAAAAGAGAAAAGGAAAAAAAAATCTGCGTCAGGAGAGCTTGAAGAAAGGACTGCATCATAATGTATCCCACTTATTAAGTGCTACCACCTTTGTATAACACACTGGGAAAAGAGAGCATTGGTTTGGAAGCAAAAGTCTGGTTCCAATGCCAGCTTGACTCCTTACCAGCCAAGAAACCTTGGCAAGTTATTCAGTGCTTGAGGCTTTTCTTTGGGAAAACTATGCACTGTTATAGCAGTGTGTCTTTCATCCTGCCGCTGAGGAATTTTACATTGTTTCATACCTGAGGACAGCCTTGAAAAGCACAGAGCAAGCATCAGCCTTTCTTGCAGACTTTCCCAATACTCCCAGGAAATAGAATATTTTTTCTTTTAATTTACATAGCTTTGTGTATATACTTCAGCTTTATCATTTGTCATGCTGTATTAGCATTTGTCCTACTGTAATAGTCAATAAGGTGTCCATCTCCTGCACTAGATTGTGAATTTCTTGATTGAAGGGTTTAGGATACATTCATACTTGGTTCTCTTAAACTCAGCATGGTAGCTTGCATATCAGAGACGAAGTAGTACATTTCTTTGATGGATGTATGAATAAATACATGAGCTACAGTCTCCATTCATTAAATGTGTATAATAGCACCAGCCACAAAAATCTTAGCAGATCATTATTTGAATCAAATGGGATAATTTCTTTGTTATCATTGTATGAATCACGAAGCATTAATAAGCATAAAGGCTGTATCCTCTTGAGTAACAAATATTCAACTTGTTTTCTGGGAATATAGGCTCAGATGCCTGAATTCAATCACATGATTGTGTGACCCTGGGCAAGTCACTTATTCTCTATGAGATTCAGTGTTTTCATCTGCAAAGATTATAAAGACCCTATTTCACAGAATAATCCAAGTGGGATCACTGGTGTAGCAGGATTTGTATACAGTAAAGTATTACACCAATAAAACATGTGATCAAATATGAGATAGTGAAAACATTAGCTCTTCCTTCAAGAAACTAACAGCTAAGTTGGTAAGACATATATATATGGATCAACCATGTGTGAAATTGACATTTTGCATTGAAAATAGTCCTTTGATCTGAAGGGAGGATCTGGGCAGTAAATAATAGCATCCACCATAGTGGACAAGCCTGAATGGGGTACCATAGTCTCTTTTTAATTAGACATCACCATTGTGACCAGTGATTTAAGTGGAAATAGGTATGAAGGAAGACATGCCTAGAAAATATGTTCCAGAAGAAACTGACATTAGAAGTCAATTAATTTGCCCAAAAGGTGAAGTCAGAATTTGAATTCCAGCCTGACTCTCCTGATTTCTCCATTTATTGAGCACTGTAGGAGTATAAAATAACCAAAGCGGAGCTCTGGCTCTTGAGGCACACAGAGTCGTTACTACTTCTTGGCTCCTCTCTACCTCTGTTCTGCCATCAGGCTCAGGGGTTAGTATGCTGAGAGTAAGAGACTATGGCACACTATTCAGGCTTGTCTACTGCAATGGATGTTGAGATGTGCTGCCCAGATGCCCCTTTGGATCAAAGGATTTATTCCCTCCATTTTCCCTGGTAGTCAGAAGTGCTGCCAGATAAAGCTCTAAGCTCTCAATTCTCTCTGGAAAATGCTCTTGTTTTGCTCAAGATCATAGCTCTTCCCTAGGGCACTCTGCACCTCATAACTGATTGACCTGAGTAACCCCTTGTCTCAGAAAAGAACCACCTGAAACTGGACAGTCCTAGCTTCAGAGCCTCCTGCAGGGTTAGCTGAGGACTTCTCCTTCTCTTCCCAAATCCTTTTCCCTAGGGTGTTGACACTTAAGGTGTTGATTCCCATCCCAGGGTACCTACCCAGAATACCCTGAACTGAGATTTTACCTGACCCGCTGGTGGGCACTTGTCGACCAACATCAACCTGTTTCCTTTTTTGCTTTTTGAAGTATAGATGACCACATATATTTATTTTTCTTAACACATTGTTTTGCCATGATTTAACTTTTATAGTAAAAATTTGATATAGATCATAGAATAAGTTGGAGGGGAACTTAGAGGATATGCATGACTCTTACTATGTTTTATTAAACCTTATGGGACTCAGTTTCCTTTTAAGGAAGACTTGGATTACATGATGTCTAAAGTGTCTTAGCTCTACAATTTGCTTTATGCATTTTATTTTGCATTTAGGTCAGGACTCTAAGACACAGACAAAGGTGACTTGTATAGTCCTCAGAAAGTAGAATAAAAATAAGGACTCAGGTTTTCCTTCATTTTTTAAAATCACACAAAGCTTTTTTTCTAACATTCTTTTTTCTCTTTTTTTCTTAGAGCACTCTTGTTCTCCCTGTAATGTACTGATTTTGATGTTATTTATTATTATTATTATGATTATATATATATATATATGTATTGCATTTTAGGTTTTGGGGTACATATGAAGAACATGCAGGATTGTTGCATAGGTACATACATGGCAATATGGTTTGCTGCCTTCCTCCCCCATCACCTATATCTGGCATTTCTCCCCATGTTATCGCTCCCCATCTCCCCCCACCCAACCCTCCCCTAGTTTCCTCCCCCTGCCCTACAGACCTCAGTGTGTGATGCTCCCCCTTTTAACTGCACAGTTACCAATTGATGAGGTTTGGATCTGTGTCCCCGCCCAAATCTCATGTTGTAGCTCCTATAATTCCCATGTGTTGTGGGAGGGAGCTGATGGCAGATGACTGAATCATGGAGGCAAGTCCTTCCTATGCTGTTTTTGTGATAGAGAGTGAGTTTCATGAGATCTGAATTTTTTTTTTCTTTTGATACAGAGTCTTGCTTTTGTTGCCCTGGCTGGAGTGCAATGGTGCCATCTTGGCTCACTGCAACCTCCATCTCCTGGGCTTAAGCAAATTCTCCTATCTCAGCCTCCCGAGTAGCTGGGATTACAGGTATGGGTTTTTGTTTGTTTGTGTTTGTTCTTGTTTTTTAGTAGAGATGGGGTTTCACTATGTTGGCTAGGCTGGTCTGGAACTCCTGACCTCGTGATCTGTCTGCCTCGGCCCCCCAAAGTATTGGGATTACAGCCAATGTGCCCGGAAATCTGATGGTTTTAAAGGCAGGAGTTTCTCTGCACAAGCTCTCTCTTTGCCTGGTGCCATCTGTGTAAGACGTGACTTGCTCCTCCTTACCTTCCACTGTGATTGTGAGGCCTCCCCAGCCATGAGGAACTGTAAGTCTAATAAATGGCTTTCTCTTGTAAATTGCCAGTCCTGGGTATGTTTTTACCAGCAGTGTGAAAACGAACTAATACACTAATTTAAGAATTTTTAAAATCTAATTTCATAAATGTCTCTTAGTGGAACAATTGCTCTGCAGATTTCATCCCTCTTCCCCTTTGATGGAAAACCAGACATTTTATATCTGGGGAAAGAAATTACATGTATTAACTGTGCTTCAATATATTTCCCTCTTCTAAATCTAATTCTTGTTACTGCTTTCCGCCACAAGGGGGCTTGAGAACCTCATTTATTATTTAAATTAACAAGGAGGCTCTTGACAGATAATGATTCGGTATGAAAGATATGAATAAAAAGATTTATAAACAACTAGGATTATTGCGTTACCATTTATCCTGCTTTAAGAGTGTGTGGGTGGGAATCAGAGAGAGGGCCACAAATATAATTGTGTGGTGCAAAGCTCTGCCACTAAAGTAACACAATATCCATTTTATAGAAGAAAAGGGATTTCTTTAGGAGTTTGTACTTTGGAGAAATCTTCCAACAGGTTTCAAGGATTGTCAAGTCTTGTCTAAATCAGTGATTCTCAACAAGAGGTGATATTAGCCCCCAGGCTACGTTTGACAATGCCTGGAGACGTTTTTGGTTGTTGCAACTTGAGGAGGTAGAGAGTGGTGCTGCTGATGTCCCGAGGGTACAGACCAGGGATGCTGCCAAACATCCTCCAATGAATAGGACAGCTTCCCACAAGGAAGTATTTGGCTCAAAATGTTAAGGGTGCTGCTGTGGAGAAACCCTCATCTAAATCAACCATGCTTTTAAGGATTCATAGTTAATAGTGTAAAACTTCCCTTTTCTTTAAACGTTTTAGATCAAAACAGAAAATGCTGGCTTGATTTACTTAAAAATTTCTACCCAGTAGCACAGCAAATTTTGCAATCTGTTTTGGGCCAAGATATCAAGGGTGATGGAATCAGGTGCCTACATTTTCCTTGTTTCCTTCTCCCGTTCCTTGCTGTAGCCTGAGGTCATATCAACTCAGGTGTTTTTTACTTCAAGCATTTTCCTGAAAATTGTTAACAGTAAATAAAAGAGGATGGTGAAAAATATAAAAGTGAAGAAATCTCAAGGCATTAGAATCCTACATTGTTCTTAGCATTCGCATCTCCCTGGCTGTGGTAAGTTGTGTCTTTCACACTTATTTATTTATTTTTTGAGATAAAGTCTCACTCTGTTGTGCCCAGGCTGGAGTGCAGTGGCACAATCTTGCTTCACTGCAAGCCTCTGCCTCCCGGGTTCAAGCAATTCTCCTGTCTCAGCCTCCTGAGTAGCTGAGACTACAGGCATGTGCCACCATACCCGATTAATTTTGTATTTTTAGTAGAGACAGGGTTTCATCATGTTGGCCAGGTTGGCCTTGAACTCCTGATGTCAGGTGATCCAACAGCCCCAGCCTCCCAAAGTGCTGAAATTACAGGCATGAGCCACCGCGCCTAGCGTCGTTCACATTTAGAGAAGCATCACACTAATCCAAAGCATTGTGTTAGCTCCATGATACCTAGTAATTTACATTCCATTTGAATTGTTTACTAGCTGCGTGTCTTTGGTTAACCAGTGAATGTCTCTGAGCTTCAGTTTCCTCATCTGTAAAATGGGAGTAATACTTCATAAGGCTCCATTAGGTCATGGACTTTGTTTCATATACCCCCTCATGTCTCCAGTGTCTGGGACAGAGTGCATGTTAAATATATTCAGAATAAACATGT